GATATGCACAGGACAGATCGAGGGAAAGAAGGACAGAGGAAAGCAACGCGTAAAATAGGGCTTAAGCAAATGGATGGTAGAACAGGGTTTTAGAGAAATAACCCAAAAAACAAAACTTATTAAGAGGTACAAAGGACAGGAAGATGTGGAGAGCCATGATCGCCTACGTCCTGAAGGGACATGGGACATAAAAGAAGAAGAATCTATGTTGATTTCATGTGCAAATGCCATTTCAAGTTTGCTTGGTATTAGTCAAGAAAGGATCTTTATTGCCTTCTTGCTTTTTGCCTTGGAAAATACTTTATCCTCCCTACTTTCTCTCGCTCTTCATATATATATATATATATATATATATATATATATATATATATATATATATATATATATATTATAAGGTGTGCTATATTTATGGGATAAAGAGCTCAATCAGAGACAGAGCGTATGTAAATATGAATATAAAAGTGAACATAGAAGTCAACACTTCTGACGATTGCGCCCTGCATGAAACAGCCTGTCTTCTCTGAGTATTGAATTTATATATATATATATATATATATATATATATATATATATATAAAGTAAATCATCGAGTCTAGAAGGGGAGAAAGCACTGGACGGCCGTTTTGTCCTATTCTGGGACTCATCAGTAGTGCGCATCCACTACCTAGATTCGAACACCAGATCGTTACGATGCGGCACAAGCGTCATATCCACTGGACCAACGGGTCTCGTTAACAAAGGGCTAGAAAATTCACAAATTCCGTCGTGTAACTCATCGAAGTTTACTTAGTACGACGGACCGTGCCCCCACGATTCACGTTTTCTATCCCTAGCCGTTCACTCCAGAGCATTAGAAGCCGGTTCAAGCAAATCAACACTCAGAAGCGACACACACATATATATATATATATATATATATATATATATATTCCAGATATCTTTGCCCACTCTAGGCTTCTAACTTTCTGTCCTGTAGTTACTGTCCGCTTTGGCCGCCATCTTTATTTTCTTTTTCTGGTTTTACTTTACTACTGTTTTTGTTTTAATTTATTAATTTATAGTTTACGTTTATTTATCTCATTTATTTGATAAAAACCAAAAAACAAGCAAAAAACATATAGAACTTTTTGAACAGAAATCCCTTTTTTTTATTTGCTTTAATGATTTGAATATTTATTCAGTCGTTAAATCTTTTCAGTTTTTCCTTTTCAGTTTTTCCTTTTCGTTTTCCGTTTTCGTTTTTCCTTTTCGTTTTTCCACCGACATTTATTTCTCCGGGTTAAAGCCTAGTTTTCCAAGACTTTTTTTTTTGTTTTTGTTTAATTTTCTTATTTTTCTTAAAGTTTCTTCTGTTTAGTTTAAACCTTTTTTTCTCGTCTTCTCAGCGAACCTTCTTTTTTATTTGTTTGTCGAACTTTCTTTCGACGAACTTTATTTTCTTTTTCGTCTTTCGGTGAAGTTATATTTTATAGCGTTTTATTTCTTTGTTTTATTTATTTCCAATTTATGTAAATTAGTAATGTTTATTCGCTATTTTCGTTTTTAAGTCGAATAATTTTCTTTATTGTAGTATATACTTTTATTTTGTATCGTTAATTTTAATCATCTTTATTTTTGTGTTCTTGATTTTAAGTTGTTGTATTTTTCTTTACCCTCCCCCAATCCACTTTAAAATTTATCACAGGAAATTATTTCCCGATTGGCATTAGTTGAATGATATTAAAACTAGCAATATAGCTGACCAGGTTGGTGAGGAAAGACCTTTTCCGATCAATTTCAAAGGCAGGCCTGACCTGAAGAAAGAAAAACAAGATCAAACTCGCAGGTGAAGTTAACACCAATAAACTCAAAGTAATAAAGAAGACCAAGTTAAAGAAGACGAAAGACAAATACGACCGACAGGGAATCACCCTCATGTTGGAGGTCCCCCTCCAATGTAAAATTAACATCGCGGAATTTTAGGAAAGGGGCGAAAGTTATGAACATCTCATAAAAGAAGATGGACTTTTGGAAGACCAAGAAGAATTACAGGAGTTCGAAAAGAAAATGGTGTCGGTCTTCGTGGTGGACGAGCGTTCGCGCAAAATTTGTCTCTCCACGAAAGACACAGTGATACAATCACTGATGTGTCTGGGGGCAAACCCCAAAGAGTCACTAAAGATACTGTTTTTTTTTTAAATATGTAACGTACTACTGCCCATTGAAGATTGTGTCGATGTTGCTAGCTGCGCGCTGATAACCAACGACCTCATCTTACGGACTGAATATGAGAATTGGCGTAGGACCTAATTAGCAGTATTCGAGGCTCCTCCCTAATAATAGGAGATCACCTAGCTAACTCAGTCAGTATATCCAACTACTCGGTGCCACCTCTGACAACCTGAACGGAAGATGGAGTTTTGATATCATGCTCGATCGTTTGGTCTACGTCTTCGTCTCCAGCTGTTTTGACTTTTGCGGCAGGAATAGAAAAAAGGTAAAAAAAGAAGAAAGAAAGAAAAAACATAGATTAAAAGAAAGTCAATAAGAAAGAAAATAGTTTAGAATAAGAAAAGAAAAATTCTTGTTTTGTGGTGGTTGGCGTGGTTGGTTTTTACATTCAAAATGAATGAATGCTAAGCAAAATGTTGGTTTGGAAGGTTTATTTTCTTTATGAATACAAATTTTATCTTTCTTGTGTGATAGTGTTCGTAGCTCGCGGTACGTTGGATAGAGAAAGAGTGAACCAAACTGTCTCGCTTTCTGGTGAAGAGGTAGAGAGAATCGATTTCGAAGCCCTTTTTTCCTGAGTTTATATTGTTGGGGTGGTCTTCGGTGACGGTGTTGATTCGATCATAAATTTGCATCTTCTCTCTCGGCCGGTGAACGCTAGCTGTTTTGAGTTCATAGAACTTTAACGCAGGGAATTTTAACTTCAGTCAGTTATGTGCCATAAGCGGGATACACGCTTAGGCGATCATGTATCTTTCGATACATGAATGACGAGGCAGATTTTTCCCGCAGTAGACCAGTTACTATCCCAGTCTATAAAACCTGGTCTGTCCTGCTATTTACCCATAGCTGGGAGTGGGGAGAAGAGGATTCATACCTTTCCCAATTAGCACGTAAGTGAATGTAATAGATTCGACTGAAATTCGAACTCGGCTCTCCGATTCCTCAATCCGAGCCGCTATCCACTACTCTACCGTGCCTATTTTTAACTTAGCTATTTTATCAACGTCGATGTATTCATCTTCTATTAATATAGTGGGGTTGCTCTTTCCTCTACTGGAGAGCCGTTCCAGACACGAAAGTCAACACATCCTGAAAAGGACAGTTTATCGCACATTGTTGCTGTGTCTGCTACTGGAATAAATACTACAATTTAATCCACGGTATCTTAATATATATTTGTACAAAATGTGCTACAGGGGGGCTAAAAAGGGGGATGGGGAAGACTGGTCTTCTCTTGTCTTAAATTAACACAGTCTCACCGATTGACCCTTTCTTACTCACAATTTTCCTTTTAACATGACAACACGTACTCATAGCAATTGCACTGCGGTCACGAAAATACATCTTGTCCGCTGATGGCATATTTTTGTCAGATTTGGGGGCTTTTTTTTTTCATTCTGAATCAGTTACACAACACTGACTGGACCTGGTAGTTGAAGATTTTTTTTTTTTCTTCCGGTTGTCTTTTTAAAAATGTACGACTTCTGACAGGATACGACAAATATATGCAAGGAAGTGTGTATCTTATATACCAATATTACACTATTTTATAGCAAAGATTTGAGCATTTGCATATTTTAGTGTTGGGTTGGGGTAGAAACCAATATCCCACATCTCGTCGTCATCATGATTCCCGTAAACCATTAGGGTCTTAGGGGTACCACACGTACTGTGGCCATAGAAGTAGAAAAAGAGAAAAAGATCCCAGTTATTTAACCCATAGCTGGAGGGAAATGGATTCATGCACGAAGTGAACGAAAGAGAATCAAACGGTAATTCGGCTCGCCACGTAATATCCACTCTACTGTATGAATGCTGGACTTGAAGCAAAAGAAATGTGGCTCTACAGAAGGATACTGAGGAAACCATGGCCCGAACATGTGAGCAGCGAGGAATTTTTAGAGAAAATGCAAACAAAAGGGAAACTTATACTTAACATCAGGAAAGGGTAGTTCAAATTTCTAGGGTCCATAATGAGGAAAGAGGGCTTGGAAAATCTGATACTCACAGGAAGGATTGAGGGTAAGAGGCACAGAGAAAACAGCGCATGACATTTCTTGAGAAAATTGATGGTGGAACAGGGTTTAGAAATAACGAAAAGAGAGAATTTATTTAGAACTGCTAGGAACAGGGGGGGGGTTGTGAAGAGTCATGATCTGCTACGTCCTAAGAGGACACGTCACATAAAGAAGAACAATTTTCTGCGCCATTAAACGCGACGTTAATCGCCACCAACTGTTTTCCTGAATCCTGTTCATTTATTGATTTTTACTCTCACTTTTCACTAGTCTTCTCATTCTCTTTCACTTCTTGTAACACCTTGCGTCCTAGGGGCATTATCGCCTTCCTTGGGGTGAAATAATAATAATAATAATAATAATATTTATTATTATTATTATAACTGTTATTCTATCCGCGTTTTCCATCCCACAGATACCAAGGAACAGTTTTACTATGAAAAAAAAATGTCTGATGGTTATACACTCATTGTAATAAAACATTTTTTAGAAAAAACAGCAAATGATTTTTGCAGTATTTAAGAAAAACATTCTATGCTTCTTCAGGACGTAGGCGATTATGGTTCTCCACAGATTCCTTTTCTTTATTATCGCCAAATTGCCGTAACCACTTGGGGAAAATATTGAAGCGGTTTCTCGCTGCATTCTGCATAGTTGTGAATTCAGAGTATCTTTCTCAATGACTTGCTTTTACCCAGGGCCGACGCCTACTACCTCGAACCCAGGGGGAGGAAGCTGGTTTGGGAACCCCAGGCAGAGCATTGTGACCCTTGCTATCTTATCAAATTTTTATTTTTTCTTTCTTCATTGATATGTTACAAAATAAACAAAGCACAATTATTAAAGAATAAAAGTTCTTCTTTGTCTCCTTTTACTAATCCTCTTTTACTCACTCTTCTTCTCTTCATAATTTTGTATACTTTCCTTCCATTCCTCATTTCTCCCTCTCTTTTTCCCTTCTATCCGTCTCTCACTTCTCTTTCTTTCATTCTTCATGTGTCGCTTCGTCTGCTCTTTCCAATTCTCTTTCACTCACACCCCTTCTCATCCTAGTAAAGTTTTGTATATTTCTCGTCTTTTTTCTCTTCTTTTTAACCATTGGTCCTTTTCCTATCGCCTCCCCTTCTTAACAGCCACTTATTCCTCTCTTTCATTCTCTATCCTTTTGTCTCCTCTTACCAATCCTCTTTCACTAACCCTTCTCCAATTTGTTACGTAATTCTATATACTTCTCTTTTTTCTATTATTTCTTGTACATTTAATTCCGCATTTTTGTTTCCATCCGCATTTCCACCCCTCTTTCTTTCTTCATGTCCCTCTTTGTCTCCTCTTCCCAATCCGCTTTTACTCCCACTTTTTCTCCTCATCCCAGTCAACTTTTTCTCTCACTTCTCTTCCGAATGGACCTGAATACTTCGTATTTTCTCTTCTTCTTAATCAATGTTTGCTTTCCTTTCCTTTACTCCTGCTAACCGCCTCTTTCTCCAACTTACTTCCTTCATCTCCTCTTCCCTCTTTCACCCTCTCTTTTTCTTTGTAATCTCAATCCGCATGCTCCTCTTTTACTCTTTCAATCATCGTTTGAATTCCCTTGCCTTCTCCTCGGCCTTCTCCTCGGCCCTATCCTCAGCCTTCTCCTCGGCCCTCTCCCCCATCTTCCTCTTACTCATCTTTCTTCATGTTTACCTCCCTCTTCCTTCTCTGAGCATCCTCTTCTTCGTAAATTTTTTTACATTTCTCCTCCTCGTTTTTCTTTGCATGCTTTTCTCCTTTTTTCTCCTCCCCATCTTCCAGTCTCCTCCTCATTTGTATTCAATCCCATCTTTGTCTCCTCTTCCTCATCTTCTAATATTTTCTCATCTGATTAATCGAAAGCTTGCTCCTCCCTTTTCTTCCACGTCTTCGCTTGCCTCCTCCCCTACATACTCCTCTTCCACTTACTTCCCCTTATTTATCATTCCTTTCCCTTTCGTCTTCTCTCCTCTTCTCAATCACTCTTCACTCGTCCTTATCCTCATTGAACTCATGTACCTCCTCCTACCTTCTTAGCAGTCACCCAAATTTTTCCATTCCTCCAATTGAATTCTCTCTCTCTCACAATATCTATCTATCTATCTATCTATCTATCTATTTCAGTCTGTTCATCTATCTATGTATTTCAGTCTATTCATCTCTCACTCTCTCTCTCTCTCTCTCTCTGTATATATATATATATATATATATATGTGTGTGTGTGTGTGTGTGTCTGTGTGTGTGTCTGTGTGTCTGTGTCTGTGTGTGTTTCTTTTGACACTTAAAACATCTCTGTCCTGTTAAGTGGTGTGTCTGCCACAATTGTGGGATTTGTTTCTTGTCGCAGTTTGTAAATACACATTAAGGTTTACATTTTGAAATAGTTGTTTGACTCTCTTCCCTAAACAGACCAACATTGTACATATGGGGGCTATTTAGGACCCCATAGAGGTTCTGAGGTATTATTGTGGATGTAGTAAGAATGGTACATAAGAATGTGTTGTTTTGTTACAAGGAATATTTTGGTATATTCGAGTCAGTGATTGTGGTTATCAAAGTTTAATCAAAACACAGAAGACAAGTCCTTCCTCTATCCCTCCTTCTGGCCTTGTGCCACATTTTTATATATTATGCAAAATAAATAGTGAAACATCCCTGTCTTCATTGTTGTGCAGTAGATTTTCTGGCTTTATCACTTTTTTCTCTTCATTTTATTCTCAAAATTCGTCACTATCAAATTTCCCTTGAATTCTACATGATTTGTTTCCTTTTTCACCTTTAGTTCACCTAATTCTTGGCTTTGTTCTCTTCTATGCCTACGGCCCGTTTCTTGATTCTCTGTTCAAGTGTTTAGATGAACAATACTTGGCATTTTATCACGTAGTCCTGTTGTTGAAGTCGAATTGTTCAAAGGCGGAACGGGAGGCTGTGACAGACTTTTCGCTTTCATTTTTACACATCGTTTTCTTTTTGGCGGTTGTGGGGGGGAAGGGAAGGGTATTTATTTTTGTTAGATAAAATACGATCATTGTTATTGCTTTTTTTTTTTTTTTCGCTGATTTTCAGACGAGCGGATTTTACCCGAAAACAAGTGACGGCAAAGTTTCTCCCTATTCTAGGACTTTGCTGATTCTCATTGACTTTTTCGTAAAGCTTTGCTTTCTCTCTTTCTTTCTCTATCTGTCTGTTTATCTCACTCTCTCTCTCTCTCTCTCTCTTACTCACTCACTCACTCACTCACTCACTCACTCACTGACACACACACACACTGACACATGTTTTGAACAATAAAAAATATTAAAAAAATTAAAACCATCGGACACACTGGGTTGTATATTAATATTCTTTCGTTTTTATTATTATTTCATTTAGATTCCTAGACTAGTTTCGACTAACATGGCCATCATCAGGAGAAAAAAAATTCTGCTTGTTAGTAGCAGTGAACTACAGAGAGAAAATGAACTTTATCTGTACTTTTCATTTGTTTTTTTCGTATTTTTTATTTTTTAACATGAATTTTGGTCAGTCTTTGAGTTGGTCAAAAAGTCTCTTTTAAGTTGTTATTGGAGATAAGAGATGGATGGATCCATGCTGCTCTGAATTCCCTTGGTCAGTTTGACAGTTTTATTGGTTCCTGGAAAAGAGATGTGTCACTTAAGTGTGTGTGTGTGTTATTTGATTCTTAGGGAGTGAGTTAGTATAATGTGTGTAAGTGTGTATATTAGTATGCGTGTGTGTATAAGTGTGAGGCCTCAACATCTCCTCAATGTCTGTCATGTGTGGGTGAGGTCTTGATTTGTGGGGTTATATATTAATTCTATCTTTGTTATTAAATTTGTGATTAAGCCTGTCTGGATAGTGTGTTTTTAAACGTTGTATCCACTTATTTTCATGGAACTCTAAAATCTTTCTAATGTTATCTGCTCTGAACTTTTCTATTCTCTCAATTATAGTGAATTTGGCATGGGTTTTAAAATCGTGTTTTTGAAGGTGGAAATGTTGTTTTACAGGTAATAATATTTCATGGGGAGTCGACGATTGCAATAATTATTAATTCTGTAGTGAATGGGCCATTCAGATTTTCCTATATATTGTTACTGGCATAGTGTGCATTCTAGGAGATAAATTATGTTATGAATTCTACAGTTAGAATCGTGGTAGATTTTGAAAGTAGATTTAGTGACTGAGCTAGTGAATGAATTCGTGTGTCTAATGTCGTTACAGCATAAGCTTCTTTTGTTGTTACATAGTTGGGAAAACCCTGTTGTTTTTGTTTTTGGTTTATTACGGATTACTTTATCCCCTGAAATGTGGTTACTATAATATCCTTTAGGTTCTTAGGTCTACAATATTCTAGAAGGCCGGGTTCCTCAAACAATTTTTTAGGTCTGGTTTGAGATGTAGTATTTCCCAGCGACTTTTGATTATTTGGGATAGTGGAGGCAGAGTGGGATTGAAAGTGGTTACTAGAGGGATTCGGCTGGGTTTATTTTTAATCTTGTACATTAGGGTGTCTTCTCTAGGTGTGGAAATTGCTTTATTTGTTTCCTGATTAGGTGTTGTTTATAGCTACGTGTTGTGAATTTAGGTATATATATATATATATATATATATATATATATATATATATATATACCTCAACCTTTCTTTCTCCAATATTCGTGGTATCCGTTCCAACTTCTGTAGCGTAGAATCTTTCCTCTTGAAACGAACGACAAATATCTTTGCCCTTTGTGAAACCAACTTAGATTCTTCCATTGCTATCAATAGATTCCTCGAAACAAGCTATATCTTCACCTTTGCCGAAAAGATTCCAGCATTCACATTTTTCATATGCTTCCGTTTTTCGTTACTAAACTGCTGGCTATCTCTTTTTCCTTTATCGCTCGCTCGCTTTCAAACGATTGCAGTATATAATAGCTGCCAGTTTAGAAAAGGCACTTTCCCTCTATCCATCTGCGAATATCTTTGTCTTCGGAGACTTTAATGCGAACCACGACGCGTAGCTTACACATTATAAAAGTAATGATGTTACTGGTATTCAAATATTAAATTTTCCCATTGCCCAATCCCTTACTCAAATCGTTGATTTCTCTATTCGTTTAGCAAAATCAAACAACGGGCCTTTCTACTTGATTTATTTCTTATCTTCTCTCCTCGTTAACAGGACATATTGAAGGCCAGAGGAACAGAAGAAAACACAACATTGCCAAAAAAGATTCCAGCATTTCGATGGCCAGGGATATGTCTCTCGAGGTCCCAGACAAAACTTTCATGTGCTTCCGTTTTTCGTTACTAAACTCTGTCAGCTATCTCTTTTTCTTTATTGCTCCACCCTCTTCCGAGGACTGCAGTATATTCGTCATAATTGCTGACAGTATAGAAAAGGCACTTTCCCTCCATCCATCTGTGAACATCTTTGTCTTTGGTGACTTTAAAGGTACTAGAATTCAGACATTAAATGTTTCCTTTGCCCAATCCCTCATTCAAATTATGGACTTCCCTACTTGATTCCTTAGAAAAACTGAGCAACTTTATTTATTTCTCACCTCCTCTCCTCGCTCTTGCTGTAACTCGGACCACTCTGTGTTAAAATATTGATATTTCATTCTAATCATCTATTAAGCAGGAATCCCCTATTCACAAGGACTTCTTTCTGTTACCAGTATAATGATTGGGACTCACTCCGTGATCTTCTTGGTGACACCCTTTGGATTGACAATTTTAAGCTTCCAATTGAAAATTACGCCGCTGAGGTTTCTTCTTGGGTCAAAGCTGGCATGGACGCTTTCTCCCCTTCTCGGAAATATCAGGTGAAACCTCAATCCTCTCCAGGGTTCACGCCAACATGCTAGGCCGTTATTGTAGAAACTCTGTGTGCTCTTATCATAGCGAAGCTTAGTGGAAAGGGAGATATGAAGGAATTCAACTGCAATCTTGGGATGAAAATATCTTTCATGATATTATATTCGTATTCATAGAAAATTCGAAGCTGACTAGACGTGTTACCGAAACTGTTATTAAGAGTCTTAACTCTTCATTTCCTTCAGAGTCTGTCTATATTTCTGGGATGATGTATTATGTACATTATTTACATTATTCGGACTATTGTCCTTATCTTTATCGCCATATTTATCACAACGTTTCGGCCGTTGTACGTTCTGGCCTTCTTCAGGAACACCATTGGAAAATTCGTAAACTTAAGGAATCAGCACATATGCTAGGCCACAAAAATCTCCTGAGCAGACCAAGCATAGAAATAAATACAATATGGGAACCAGTAATAAGGAGTGCCAGAGAAAAGCAATGATAACAACATAGTTGCAATGTGAGCTCTGGTAAAAACATGTAATGATAACAGCAAAATTGCAATATGAGCACTGGAAAAAATGGTTGCTGAAAACATTAGGTTTATAATACCCAGAAATTCATACCCAGATGTCCTCAAGGACACATGGCACAGTGGATAAAGGTGTTGGTTAGATCCAGTGACAGACCCAAAAGAGTGTGAGTTCAATCGAGAACTTTCAGAGGGAAAATTAGCAGGAGATAACTGATAACTGACATCCATCAAACATGGCACATGGAACAAGAGTCTACCCCGGTGAGCGAAATAAAGGGTTCGACATTCTAACCACCTGAAGAAGGCCGGAGCGTACAACGGCCGAAACGTTGTGATAAATATGGCGACAAAGATGAGGACAATAGTCCAAATAATGTAAATAATCTTCATTTCCTATCGTTACTTCTACAAGGAGAATTACTTGTAGGCAGCATATAGTGTTTTTTGTTGCAATTCTTTTTACACAAACGATTGCTACCACAAGACTGCACAAGTAAGAGTTCGTTATCATTTCTTTCTTCGCTGAGTTTCGCTTTAAATGCTAATAGTTGCCATTATAGTTTTTCTACCTTCAATTTCCCCAAACAGTCAGACTTGAATTCCCGACACTATAGCGCACAGGAACCACTATTTTCGTCTATACAATCGTAACAGCTCTCATCACAACAGGCGCCTTTTCGTTACTGCTCGTAATAAATGTAAGAGACTTCTCGAAGGAGCTGTGTCCCTGTTTGCCGAGAGAATGATGCACTATAGAGCCTCCAACAACTTTGCTTCTCGTGATTACTAGCGGCTCTATAATAGGGTATTAAATAAGTGCAAAGTCTCTATTCCTCTCCTCGATTTGAGGTGTTATCATTCTCTGCTGATAAAGCTTTGCCTGTAAATTCTCCTCAAACCTTACTCTTGACTCATCTGGAGTATCCCTGTCTAACTTCGCACTCAGAACTGTGCCTCTGTTGAGTGATATTCATATAAACCCTTCCATGGTTTCCGCTATCATCTCTAACCCAGATCCCCACAAAGCATATGGACCCGATAGAATCTTTGTAATTGTCTTTTCTCAGACAAGCAATATGAGTTTCGTTACTCCAGGTTAACCGCTGACGTACTGACGATAATTGCGGAAAGAGCCTATCATGCACTAGATAAAAAATAAATAAATAAACGGTGAAGCCTGAGCTGTAGCAGTGGACATCTCAAAGGCCTTTTGACAGGGTCTGGCATACAGGTCTTCTCTACAAGCTGCAAAGTTACGATGTCTCCGGACACTTTTTTGAACTGATGCAGACTTTCATATCAAATCGTGAAATGAAAGTTATCCCGAACGTCCATTTGTCTAGATCATTTCGTACTAACACAGATATCCCCCCAGTCTTCATCCTTGGTCCGACTCTGATTTTAATCTTCATTAATAATCTTCCCGATTACATCAGTAATCAACTTGGTATCTATACTGATGGCACAACCATTTACTCCAGCCTCGATAGCAAAGCTGATCAGTCCGACATGGTCAAAATGGCAGTCGGTGTCCAAAACAACCTCGTCCATCATTAATTGGATCAAAAGATGGCTTATTAAATTTAACGCCTCCAAAACGATATTTCTCTTCATTAATCATCTGCGAGACCGCTCTCTACCTTCCATCAACATGGCTAATGCTAACCTCCAGGAAAGTGACTCGTTGTGCTTTCTCGCGCTAACATTCTCAGTTGACATAAAGTGAAAAAAATCTATACTGAATCCATTGCCAGGTCAGTTGCTAAGAAAGTTGGTTCACTGTGTTGTGCAAGACGATTTTTCTCTCCAGAATTTATCTTACATATCTAAGTCTAACATTCGTCCATACTTAAAATATTGCTGCTACATATGGTTCGATGTTCCTGCGATTTACTTGAGATTCATGATAAAAT